AGTGGACTTGGGGAGGGGCATGCATGCAGAGGGGGGAGGAAGGGAGGAGGGGGGAGGAAACCACAGGGGGGATACAAAGTGAAAAAAGTAAAGTGTAATTAATAAAGAATTTTAAAAAAAGTAATTAATGGTTTCCAGAAAAAAAATTTCAAAAACATTTGTGTCATTCTATATGCGTAGGTAAACTGTGTCCTAGAAACCAGAAAGGCCATCTCCATTAGCAGCTCTGGATGCTATAGTTTCAGGCTGTAAACTCTATCTTCTCCCCTCCCCCCAAATAATACCTCTAAGGGTAGTTAGTGATGATCAGGATAACAGATCATGGTTCTGAATCCTTGACATGATGGTGTCTGTGGAGTTTCATGCAAAGTGGCATTTTAAATACTGGAAAGTACAAAAAGGCTGGACTGCTAAAGCCCCAATATAGATTGCATAATTTATACTGTGCTTATTTGCTAGTGAATGTTTAGCTAATAAATGTTTTATGTAGGCAAATTTGAGATTCTCTTTCCTTATAATTGGTATCAGGATGATAAGAATGAGTTTACTGAATGTGAATTTCTTCCGTGAGGGCTGTTAACTCTCCAAAGACCCCAGACTTTGGCATGACTGACAAATTTAGGATAGCTCACAGAAATAACCTTCTACAGTCTGACAGAAAGAATAATTAAGGAGAGGATAGATAATATATTGAGGTACCAGTAAATACCTTAGGTCATAATTATATTCTCACCTTAGTGTTAAGCTGAGTTCCAGTTAATGGCTTCATACATTTTTTTTTTTTTCTGAGCTATTTCCCAACAACTGAAAGTTATTTCCCGGCAGAAACAGCTGTTTCATACAGAGCATCAATGATGGGTATTTCCATGTGTTATATAATACAATTAGTGTTTTGCTGGAGAGGACATGGAGTCCTGAAGGAGAAATTATATGAATGTGACATTGAGCTAATCGTTTTGTGTCATTAATTTGCATTTTTGTAGATTGTATTCTCTTCATTCAACATCTAAGCAGGTTTTACAATTTGATTTGCAAATTCATAACTTTATTGTCTATAACGCAGTTATCTAAAATCAGTTACTATGATGACTTCCATAGAAATACAGAAGGGAAGAAAAGAAGCAACCCTGGGCCAGTCTCATTTATTTATGGAGGTCAGTATGAGTGCCAGCAAGCAATGGAGGGAAAAGTGGCTGTCCCCACTCTTCACAGTAGGTGGGAACTAATATCTCACACTGCAAATGGCAGGAAAGTTAATGGGGGAAAGGGGGTTGCACTGTTTCACTCTCTCCCTAGAAAGGGCCTTTACAGGTAATTTGTTAAGTATTATTTATAGATGCCCTGTTGAGGAAGTCATCCATGCTCAGATTTGACATGTAACAAACTGGGAAAGTGTTCAGTAATGGGATGTGGAGATAAGATCCATGCTGTTGAATGGTTTAAAATGGTTGTTAAAAAATAAAGACTGAGAACTTTGGAGTTCTTTTACAACCCTATGTGTGTAGTAGAGCTATGAAAAAAACAATCTAAGATGCTGTCATAAGCAATTAA